AAATAATTCTCAGAAGAAGGGTTGACAAAAAAGCACTCACACCAAACTTTTAGCAACAGGATTTTGCCAATACAGCCTTGCTGCTAAAAGCTGCATAGTGCAAAAACATCCTTAACTGACTTCATTACCTAGCTTTTTCATAAGTTTCACAATCACCCATAGCTATTCTTGATTAACGTTTGGGATAGTATTTAAAGATCCTTCTTCAGTCTGCTTAAAGCAATTCTACCATGCAAGGAAGAGTAAGATTAGTATCCTGCTAAAAAGAAAGCTTTGGTTTAAACCACTGAAACACTCATGCTTTTAAACACTTGTGACTACAATGCACAACATCCATGGCAACAGTTTCTTCCTATAAAGCAACCCTTAAGATATTTTGCATTATAACCGCACTCTTCAAGGAACTGCAGAGATTAAGTACTTCTAACAGGGAGAAATGGCTGTTTGAGTTTGCGTGTTAAATACTAAGCACGTAAAGCAAATGTTGAATTTCCATTTTGCCAAGTCTGTAGTGAAAGTAAGGACTATCTTAAGATAGAAAAGTAGCAATGAGTTTCTATGGCCATCCAACAGGAAACACAAAGCCCATCAGTCAATGATGTTTGATACTAGTGTGGCAGAAAAGGTCATGTGCAAGTGGCAGACCTTTCCACAGTGGGTACACTGGTCTACTTGCCAGATGCAGGTTGAAGCATACTCTTTCTGGCTTAAGACTTCAGCCTATGCTCTCTGGGACGACTGCACCAGCCTTGACTCAGCTTCTCCAGATTGAGTAATGCTCACAACCAGAGAGTCAGTTTGTCAGTAGGAATACTGAATTTCCCAGGAACTTGCTTGACATTGTCACTGTATAAGAGCTGTGGCCTCCCTGGGTCATGTGTAGCCCTTACGTTGGGCATTAGAGCAGCCTTTAACAGGTGACCTCGAGGCATGCGTTCCATGTGTCCCAGCCAGAAAAGCCTGCAAGCATTCAGCATAAACTATAGGCCTGTGCTCTCAAGAATCTTGTTGACAATCCATTGGTCCCAAGCAACCCCAAGGGTTTCTGGGACAAAGGTGGAAGCTGTTAAATCTCTGTTCTTGCTTGTGGGTATGTGACCCAGCTTTCATAGCTGCTAAGTAGAGTACTGAGGACACAAGCTTGATAAATCAATACCTTTGTGTTGAGGGCAAGCAGCTCTTTTCTAGATACCAAGTAACTTTACCAAGCCTGAGGATCAACAAAGTCTCTGCTACATCAAGTTCTCTGGGCTTAAGACTAATTCAACTGGTTAAAAGTTGAGCCAAGATAGCAGAAGTGATCCACATCATCCAGAGTTTCATTATG